AACCAAGCTCCTGCTCCGATCGTACAGGGACCGGGTGGCCCTTAGCAAAGGGCCCCGGACCCCGTACTCCCGGCGCACCCCCCACAGGGCGCTGCGAGGGACACGGTCGAATGCCTTCTCCAGATCCGCGAAACACATGTGGACTGGTTGGGCAAACTCCCATGAACCCTCTGCCACCCTGAAGAGGGTATAGAGCTGGTCCAGTGTTCCATGGCCAGGACGAAAACCGCATTGTTCCTCCTGAGTCCGAGGTTCGACTATCGGTCGAATTCTCCTCTCCAGTACCCTGGCATAGACTTTCCCAGGGAGGCTGAGGAGTGTGATCCCCCTATAGTTGGAACACACCCTCCAGTCCCCCTTCTTAAAAAGAGGGACCACCACCCCGGTCTGCCAGTCCAGAGGCACTGTCCCCGACTGCCATGCGACGTTGCAGAGGTGTGTCAACCAAGACAGCCCAACAACATCCAGAAACTTAAGGTACTCAGGGCGGATCTCATCCACCCCCGGTGCCTTGCCACCGAGAAGCTTCTTGACTACCTCAGTGACTTCAGCTTGGAAAATGTTTTTATTAAATATAATTTTCGTAATTACCCTATTATGATACAACATGATTTAATTACCTTTTTGACATTTTTTTCAGGTTACGATTAAATCTTGGTAGTGAAGAATCTAAGAAGAGTTTTTTTTTTTCAAATTATTTATCAAGTTTCTAGGGAATCAATAGCATTACAAGGCACACAATTTTGAGCTTAACTTACAGTGCCTCCATGTGGTCACTTGAGACTATAGGTAAATTGCAATTCCCTTATTTTGGTCGAACCAGAGGTCTGTAGGATGTGAGGAGTGAAGACGGTACTGGAGAAGCCATGACCAAGGGTACACAAGAACATCGTTCGCAGAAGTTTTTTAAAATGACACTCCTTTATCAGAAATCAGTTGGTGATTGGACATTTCAGATGAAGGATCAGATGTCTAATGTTGTTAGCAACATGTTTCACTGAGTCCTTTCTCCTCACATTTTTCTTGCAGCTTACATGGGCAGGAAAAGACACAAGTGAGGCTCTGATTTCTGCTCTGAGGAGTGAGGCGGCTGCCTGGAAGAGCTATAACCGACAATAGACAAGTGCATCTTTCACGGATATCTCCTACGGATAGACACGCCCTTTGGAAACCAGTTTGTGATTGGATGGTTCACATAAGGATAGTCTCCTGTCAGTTAAAACATGTTTCCTCGGTTCCTCTCTCCTTTCACCTTATGTGGGCGGGACTAAGATGCAAGGAAACTACATAAGTGAGGGAGACGTGGATGCAATTAGGGGAATTGGGATTCACTTTATGTTTCACTAATAGTTTGTATTTTACACAAGATGAAAGGACAAACGTGTCTCTGATTGATATATATATATACAGTAAACACACCATAAAGTATATATACTGTTTATTCTGTTATACTTACAGTGTGTGTTTGTAGCTCTCTCTTCTGGGAGGTCTATGTCCATGCAGGTCAGTTCTCCATAGCACTGCATTACATTCACCTCCAACCTCTTCTCAGAGCGGGCAAGGTGAAGCTCTTCAACCACTTGCATCTATAGAACATCACATTTCAAAACAAAATACAAACATTCTCTCTGCCATTTCAAACCACTACAACAACATATTTTTAACATACTAGCTAACACTGATATTTTCACGACATAATTCATGTTTTTGGTTACCTCATCATGCCATGGCTCAGTGTCAGTACTGCACACAGTTGGAAGTTGGCTGGGCAAAGATGACCTTTTATCTTGTTCCTCAGATGAAAAGCTGGGAGCGAAATCCAAACAGCTGTGAGGTTGTTGAACAGTTTGATGCTTGGAGATTCTAAGTGAGACCCCAGAATCTGAACTCTTGTTCCCATGTTTCAGATTTGTGTTTGTAGAAATAGCTTCATTATTGTCACTGGTGCAATCGACTTGCCTTGGTTCAACTTTTTTTGGCATCTTAAAATTTGGAGGCAGAGCTGGTGTGAGAGAATACATTTGTTTCTGAGAAAATGAAGACTTGGCTGTCATATGTGATGTTGATTTGACACTCTTATGGACTGAAGTGACATTCTTAAAGCTACTCTCTGAGGCAGGGGGCTTGGCTGAAGTGGAAGACTCCTTCAAAACAGACACAGAAGGATTTTTTGACTCTGTACATAGGCTCATTTTGCCTGTACAATTACTTTCGTGATGCCTTTGGCAGAACTTTTTCACCAGTTCAATTCTGTTTTGCTTTAAAGAATCTCTAGAGACAGAGGAAGCCTTGACAGTTTTGTAGTCATGTCCAGTTTTTGGTGGTTCCTCAGCTCTCCTCTTCTTCTGTACATTCCATTCTTTCTGTTCGGCAGGAACCAAACTGAGACTCTTTGGCTGCTGCTTTAATTTTGATGGGATCCTCTGGGAAGAACTTTCTTCTAAGCTGCCTTTAGAGAATCTCTGTGTTCTCTGACAAACTGTACCTGCAGTGTCAGTTAACAAAGGTTTCGAGGGTCTCTTTTCCGCAGTCTTGCTCCCACTATCTTTTCCTGAAATTTCAAGTCTTGGTTTACTAGAGCAGTTTCCCCCATGGAACTGCTCAGTGACACTTTTTGTTGTATATTCTTTGTCTTTATTAACAGTTTTATGGCCTGTGGCATGTGTTTTTGCCAGTCTGTAGACAGGCTTTTTGACCTGGCGGGTGCTTGGGGAATTATTTTTCACAGTAGAAGAAACAAAATTCCCTGGTTTTGCTGCAAAGCTGCATGTGGAAGAAGAGAATAAATATCACAGTCAGAGATAATTAAAAACCATTATGTGAATAATGCATAACTGCAACTGCACAATATTAGCCTAGTTAGTTCTTAAAGGTCAGGTATACTGTATCTAACCTCTCCCGACTGTTTACATCTCGCTTCCTCTTGGCAGTTTCACAATTGATGGCAATATCTTGTTCTTTGGATGCCTGAAAACATAAAACAAAAACACTTTTGAACAGCTTGCTGTGGTACAGGAAGGATATTCTGCATTTTTTTTTTATGATTCTTTCCAGCTGCTCTTTGTTGAAGATGTTTTGTTGCTCTACCTTCAGCTTTAAAATGCTCCAAAGCGGTTCGATTGGATTAAAGTCTGGGAAATTACAGGTCACATTTTCTTTTTAAAAAACTCTTGTAGGATTTATGCAGTGTTTGGGACTGCTATCATTTTAGAAAATTCCTCCACGTCCAAGATTCTTAAGAAAATGGCTTAGCTTCTCATTCAGTATTGATGGACACAAACTTGCATTGATGGACACAAACTTGGCTCACTCGTGCCATCTATAAATGTCATCTCCCTTATAGCTTTGCACTCATGTAGCCCCATATCAGCACACTCCCACCTCAATATTTCACAGTCAGCACTACTGTGGCAGTCCTGGCCAGGCCCATGTCAAACATGCTGGACCACAACTGATCTAAACAAACTTATTTTTGCTTTCATCTGACCAATAAACGTACTGCCAAAAATCATCAGGTTTCTTTTCATGTTAGTTTTACTTTCTATTATTATATTTTATATTGATAAAAGTCTTCTTTTACCGCTGAGTGCTTGATTTTTTCCCCCCTTGCTGCTGTAGCCTCGTGAATGTCCCTGTTGTGAGACTAATATAGGTTCATCTTGTCTTATCTTTGACAAAGTTCTGGAGGTTTTGTGCTTTGTGTAACTGTGTGTGATATTTTTGGCCTGAGTCTTTGGTTATTAGTATAGCTCTTCCTATATCCTCTAAGCACTGCTGCAACTGTGTTTTTGCTTATACTGAAAGGTTTACTGATGCTCTTGTACTTTCTTCATTTTTTAATCATGTCTCACAATCTAGTATTTGTTCAGTCAATTCCTTATGATGCAGAGTCATGTTGCATTAGATACTACCCAGGCCAAAAAATAGAAAGCTGTGGCATTCACAGATTCTTTAACAACTTTGTTCATACAACTGTCATTAACTGGAAAGCAGAGATGTTATGACTTATGCTGCACACATCAATCACAGGTAAAGTGCTGCACTGAGGTTGCAATTGGACCCCGTATTTTGAATGTAGTCTGCCTAACCTGTTCATTTTTATTTATACATAATATTAAAATAATTGTAGTTCTGAATTTAACATTTTAGCAAATTAAATAAACATAGCTTCCTTCTCCTCACCTCATCTTCTTCAGTGGAGCATGAAGACTTCCTGCGCCTTCTCTTTTTTGACTTTTTAGACATTTTCCTGTGAAGGTGATTTTGAAGAGCAGACAGTCGTCAGTGACTATGTAAAATCCTTGCAAAACCATCTTTTTTCCTTCGTATTATGATACGGGCTTCTTTGGCTGTTAACAGTGAAGTGTGGCAGGCAAGTAAGACTTATGTAACTTAGTTACAAGGTAAACAACTAGTTCAAATCAAGGACTCAGATGAGGTACAAACTAGGACTAATACAGGGTAAAATGCGTACATACTCTCGTATTTTAAACTTTAGCGAAACCCACATTAAACATATTCCTTTTCTACTCTCGTATTTTAAACTTTAGCGAAATCCACATTAAACATATTCCTTTTCTAAAACATAAAATGTTACGTTAAGCTTATTCCGACACACGACCAACGGCGACCCTTAATTTTAGTGTTAGCTCTTTTAAGCTAATGCTATCCAATGAAATGCTACTAACTTAGGCTAACAACACAACTGCAACAATACAGGCTAATTATTTTCTTTACCATTTAAAGCGTACACTTATTCAGTGGAACAAAGCAGTGCAACGTTATACGATGTATTCCACAATAAGTGAGTCACTCTATCAGCTGTCCCCCAAAACATCCGCTGCAATTCCGCCTTTTCTTCTTCTACTGCTACGAATATTTTGTCTTCAGTTTGCTACATTACTGCCACAGACTGGATTGGAGAGGAGAAGAGGTTTGTGTGTTTCAATGCTCTTGGAAAGTCGTCGTGTCCTGCAGGAGATTATACAGACAGCACGCACATATTCAGGTTTTCTAAAGAGATAAGCAAATGAAGTAATTTCAAGAGAGGAGTAAACAGCACAAGGTAGGTGGGACTAACTGTGGGTTATCAATACCTCTACACAAAAACACAACAACGGCCGGTTCCATCTGTTATTTTTACCAAACAACAGTTTTCTTCAAGGTCAGACCTATACAGTATGTTAAGTATATACAATTGTCAAGTCAGTAGTTTTCCATTCACAAAAATTTCTACTGTGAGCTCAAGGCTGATATGCTATCAAACTCCTCAAAGTACAATATTGGACTTGATTCAAAGATAAAAGTACAAGTCCTTCACTTTACTCCTATTCACAAGTTAAGAATAAAAGCTACTTATCAAACTTTATTTGACTTAAAATTAATTAAAAAAAAAGGTTTGGCTAGCTGACTGCTGGTGGAGGTGGAGGGGCTTTACCAGTGTTAATGTAAGGATAAGGTCGTATAGCCAGAGTGACATAATACTCCTCCTCAGCTGAAGTAAGAGTACGCACAGTAATACGCAGAGTAGAGGCTGAGTAGAGGGAGTGCAGAGCAAACATAGCAGTTGGAATGGTTATTAGACTTAGCTGTAAAATTGGCAGAACACCACCACATTTTGATATCGTAAGCATGGGGTGAGAGAGGTGGATCTAACCACAGAAAACCGAGAGACACTTGGTCATTACCAGCTCGGTGTGAACGTCAGAGTGCAGTGTTGGTCAGAGCACAATCGAGTGTGGTGTTGTTCGGAACCGGGGTAGGTGTAGAGGAGGTCAGAGTTGGGTCATAGTCATCAGAGACACCTGTTTTGTTTGGCAGGAGAGTGAAGTACAAAATGATGGAGAAGGAGAGAGCAGACAGAAATGCAAGCAGTGATATACAAATCAAATCAAATACAAATCAAAGCCGGCTTCCGAAGGCCATCGTTGGCAGCCTGTAGGTAGTCGTGTATGTGTCTTCTCAGGAACTGTATGTACTGTATGCAATTGTATGGTGCAGTGTTGAGCGGCGCTTGGCTCACGCTCTAACACTGTTAGAATTCAGCACAGTCTTCTTCTGTGTACAAGTGTGTGCAGGCAAGTGAATTGCGTCAGATGTCACTAGTCATCAGTTTTACCGTCTACAGGCAGAGGTGATGTTGGGTCGTTCACTGGATTTGGCATATTCTTGCAGTGACTAGCATGGATCCACGTCACTCTTTCAGGAATCTTGATCGCTGTATGGGTGGTTGTCATCTTCACAGAGTGCAGTGGAGGGGAGGGGTCTGGTGGCAAACTCCACTCCCAGAGAGTGTGGGCGACCAAAAAGGATTTCAAAAGGGCTCATGTTAACTCTTGACCTTTTCCTCATTCGGAGGTAGCTTAAAACAATGGGCAGTACTTGTACCCAGGACAGACCTGTTTCCTCTCAGCATTTAACGAGTTTCAGTTTCAGGGTCCCATTCTCTCTCTCCACCACTCCTCCACTGGCTGGATGATAAGCACAGTGTTTTCTGAGGTCGACTCTGAGAAACTTTCCAACCTGTTGAACAGCAGCATTAACAAAGTGAGAACCGTTATCATGGCTGATTCTGGCTGGGATTCCCCATCTTGGAACAATCTCGGTTAACAATGCTTTAGCCACAGTCTGGCTGCTGGGGTGTTTAGTAGGAAAAGCTTCAACCCACTTTGAAAACATGTCGACCATAACAAGGCAGTATTTCGTACCACCAGCAGGTGTCAGTTCAGTGAAATCCATCATCAAGTTTGTCAGGTGTAGGATGTGCAGCCTGTGCGAGTTGTGTTGTTTTACCTGGATTGTTATTTGCACAAATCATACATGACTGACAATATTTCTGAGCATAAGCAGAAAATCCTTTTGTGAACCAGTGCTGACTCGTAATGTCCAACATTCCCCCTTTCGAGATGTGATCAAGTCCATGAACAAGTTTTGCATAGTGGGGAAAGAGATGTTTAAGCAGGCAGGGTTTTCCATCAGGTCCAAGCCAGATGTCGTCAGTCACAGTTGCACCTGTGGTGCACCTGTGGTGCAACTGTGACTGTGACTGTAGTGCAATGAGAGAGCTAGGAACAGAGACAGGAGTGGAGACAAACAAGGAAAGTGTGGGAGGAGGGGAAAGTGCAGCCTTCTTGGCAGCAGCACGAGAGTTTCCTTGAGAGATAGGATCAGAGCAGTGAGAGTGAGCTTGACATTTACACACAGAATGGTCTTAGACAGCAAAATGGCATCAAGCAATGCTGCAACTTTGTCATGATGAAGAAAAGGTTTACCATCAGATTTGAGAAATAGTCTGTTTTTCCACAAAGATTCAAAATCATGCACAACACCAAAGACATACCTAGAATCTGCATAAATAGTAACAGAACCTTTCTTCTGCCAGTTTACAGGTTTCAGTCAGCTGCCTGAGCAGAGAAATGTGAAGGGAGGGCTGCAGAGGCAAGAGTGGCATGAGGAGAGCGCACAGCATAACCAGTACGATTAATTCCCTGTGCATCTCTATAGGCAGAGCCATCAACAAACAAAACAAGATTAAGATTAGTCAGTGGTGTTTCCTGGAGATTGGGTTGAGGTGAACAGACCTGTTGAAGAACGGCAACACAGTTATGTCCCTCACCATCAGTGGGTGTGGGGAGGTTGTATTTGTGTGTGTGTGTGTGTGCGTGTGTGTGTGTGTGTGCGTGTGTGTGTGTGTGTGCGTGTGTGTGTGTGTGTGCGTGTGTGTGTGTGTGTGACTATTTTATCATCACTCACCGAGGTGCTATAGGGAAGTGAGTTCGCTGGATCCCAGCAGTGACAATACGGGGCGGCAGCGGGCAGTCCCCTGTCCCTCTGGTAGTGTTGAGAGTTAGGGGCTGGAGTGTTGTTGTTTCCAGGAAGGCCAGTCACTGTCTGCAGTTCGTCCCAGACGATCACACGAGGGATCCCACTTCTTGACACCAAGCTGTTAAGGAAAAAATCGTGTTTCCTTTAATTCTGTATAATATATGAACAACCATCGGTGAGTGAGAAATAAAGAGAATTGAGATGGATACGTCTTCTGTGTAATTTATTTCTGCAGAAAGGAGTTGTCTACAACAGCACTCAGAGAGGCATGTTACAGAGACTCAAAGAATAAAGGAAGATTCAGTTCAATATAAAGCCAAGGATAACGTCACACAAAAGGAGGGTACACTGAGAACAATTATGCATCTGTGTTCAAAGAGTTTCTGATTTCCAAAACACTGAGAGGTTCACAGGAGATACTTTCAAGGCCTGTGGATGTTACAGTTGCTTCTGCAGTAAACAAAGATACCTTAGGCATTCAGTGTGTCAGCAGAAAACAGAGTTCACTTGTCCAGTGTGTGAAAGGTTACCACAGTTGTTAGCAGACTATAGTTTAATATGTAAATGAACAATATAAACGGATATTCTGAAAAATGCCATTACAAGTACAATTAACAATAGAGCAGTCATGGATGACTCATTAAACAGGCATATTCTGTACAGGCCCAGGGGCCCAAGGGGTCAACTTTCAGTCAACCTGAGAAAACAAACAGCGACTAGATCACAATCATCATTATGGAGGACAAAACAATGCTGCAAACAGCCACCAGGTGGGCAGTTTTTTGAAAGCTAACCCTCAAAATAAGATTGTCAGTCATGGATTTGTGGGAAAAAGAAGCTTAAATAAACCAAGTGACTAAACTATTAAATTAAACAGCATTGCCCTTTATGAAACCCATACTAAAACTGCAGTAGTGGTGGTATGCCACTTAGTGACACTATAGCTCCATTTAGAATCATCCAGCCTTACTTTGCTCTTAACACACTTTTACTGAACTAATCTGTAATGGTATCACTTTATATGACTTTATACTTCTACCCCACTGTCCCATGCTTAAGTTTTATTTAAGTAAAACAGTTCTACTTTATGAAGGCATAGCTTGTAATTGAATGCTTTTCATAATGTGGTATAATAAGGATTTTTAGTGAGCCGCTATTGCTGTACAGGACCATGGCATGAGAAACAAAGCTGCTGACCATTAACAGATGAACTGTGAGTAGTTTCAGCTGTCGGGAATAATCTCTGACACTTGAATAATTTTGGACAGGAGTAATAACATGTAGGGATTTGACAGAAACTGTTAAATGCTCAGGGATTCTAAAGATGACACCATTTGGATTAGATCAGTGACATGTTAAATACATAAAGATTATATTTAAAATTGGAAACAGCTTCTCTGTTTTGTAGTTCATACAGAGGGATAATTTAGCTGTGTTTAGTGGTGATAAAAAGCATTTATGTAGTATGTTATGATGAAGGCCTAGATCTCAAACAGACTGATTCATAAGATTAAATCATGAAAAGGCTACATGTAGTAGTACAGCTTCCCTTATGTCGTAGCTCATTAAACCTAATCTTCCCTGTGAACATTAAAGAAAAACAGTTATTACACAAATAGAAATCTGTCCTTCATTGTCGTTCTTGTTGAATAAAACTTGACAGTACAACCATGTCAGTACCCAAACAAAACTGATTCTCGCATACTTGACAAAACAAAAAAACAAAACAAACGCAGTCCCAGGACTCCTTAAACTTTCATCTTATCTCTATATGACATATAAAGTAATGTTACTGTATATAAAACCTGCTCAGTGTAGACAGGGATAAACAGACATGCTCCATACTCTATCATCATACAACATTCATTTGTATGGTTATAGAATGTAAACACCCACTCAGGTTATTAATCTCACCCAAATTCCCTAAATATTATATAATGTATAAATGATATATAAACAATACCTAGAGCGTGACCTTGTCCTCAAAAGTAGCTCCTGATTTCTAAGCCTGATAATGAGACTGAATATAGCCACTTCATTTTTACTATTGGGTTGTGTGCATTGATTCAGAAGTTTGAAACCATACTACAGCTTGTTTGATAGAAGTAAAACTGTAGAAAATCAGTATGAAAATGGTCTGAAGTAGTCCTCCAGAGAGATCTCAGAGTAAAGCTTTGATTAAGATCAGATTAAGATCCTTCGGTGTCAGTTACCTTTGGCTGATTATGAGCTGAGATTCTGGCACATTTGTTTCAGCCAGACATCTGTCAGCTTCATCTGTCTGCCTGTCACTCCCTGTCTGTCTTTCTTGCACTCTCTCTGCTCTTTTGTCTCTCCATCTTCCTCTTTGTTGTTTTTTCTTTCCCTCCCTCTTTTCAGCCAATTCAAAGACATTTGGTTTTAATCAACAAGCAGTTTTGGACAGACAGTGAATGCTTCTGTTATTATGTGTACATGTGTTTGTGTGTGTGATATTTGAGTGTGTTGAGGAGGGCCTTTACTCCTAGAATGGTGTATTCAAAAAACCAGAGCAGGACTTTTTATGAAAATATGAAGATATTCTTTCACTCATTTAGCTAATAGGCAACTACTGTGTGTATGTATATGTGAGTGTGTGTGTGTGTGAGGGGAAGGATGTGGGTGTGTGCTTGTGTGCAAGAACTGATTTCACACTTTTTGATTTAAGGGCTGCCGAGGTCCACTGAGGTCAGATGTGCACATGTGTACACATGTACACCCAAGTACGTACATGTAGAAACCTTTACACACAATGAATAATGCCTACAACATGGTTTCACTGTGCATTGTTTATTCAAAATATGATTTACTACAATTTTGTCTCTTTTGTAGTAAAAGCAGTCATCAGGTCATGCTTTAGTCTGTAGACCAGTGGTTCCCAATATGGGGGGTGTGACCCTCATAGGGTGCTAAGTTAAATTTGTGGGGTCACAGTGATTATGGGGATGAGAAAGATGAAGAAGATGCATTTGATGCATAAAATTGTACTCAAATTTTAAAAATCATTTCTTAAATTTGTTTTTCTTGTAGAAAACTAAATCCTACCATCTCTTTCCTTTCTTAAATAAAATATCACTATGTAGTTGAACTGCTCAAAACTGACTCCATATTAAGGCCACAACCTATTCTATGATGAGAGGTCACAAGTGCATTTTGGGGAGACGACAGTGGTGCGGTGGGTAGAGCAGTCGCCTTCCAACCAGAAGATTGAAGGTTCGAATCTTGGTATTGACAGTCCATGTGTCAAAGTGTCCTTGGGCAAGGCACTAAACCCCCCCGATGGTTAGACCCTTCGGTTGAGGTGGCGCCACAGATGGCTGCCATCAGTTCAGTACCGGAAATAAATTCCTTATGTGTAACATACTTGGCCAATAAAGGTGATTATCCTTATCCTATATTAGTAGTCAATATCTTTAAAGGTGTCTTTAAAATTTTAGTTTATTAATTAGTCAATTGACAAAAAATTACACTGTGATCCATTATTTATTTTAGTAATTTTTCTAGCCCTGTGATGGATTGGCAACCTGTCCAGGGTGTACCCCGCCTTCGCCCAATTGCCGGCCAGGATTGGCTCCGCCCCCCCGTGACCCCGTTCAGGGACTAAGCGGTAGAAAATGAATGAAATGAATGAAAGTAATTTTTCAAGCAAAAATCTAAATCAGAATCAGCTTTATTGG